TTGTTTGTTATTCAAAGTGCTCATTAATAAATTTCAAGTGTTACGGTAATAATTGACAGTTTCGGAATTCGCTTAGTCGAGGAGTGCATTGTTAAATAAGATTTGTAAGCGTTACTGTAGGCATCAGCGCGTAATATGGCCAGTAGGGCGGTAATCTGGACACTTGATGTCTTTGGTGAAAGCTTCTGAAGCAAGCATCATTAGGAGGTCGTGTCAGGGAACCTATTTTGTGGGTGGGGTAGGTAGAGTAACCCAGGAGTGTCGCAGATGTACGTTGTTGCGGCTGGAATGTGCGCGACATCGTACATCGCGGCGCGCCAAGGTGATCAGGGGCCGGGTGTGTTAAGCCCGACCTAGGAAATGGGTCCCCATAACTCTTGCATCGCTGGACTCTTCCCCTATTCTAACCACGAGAGGCGTCGTCGACCAGAGTAGAGACGCAGAGTTTTGTTGACCCATCTCCGAGTTGGGCCTTGCTGCACCCGACGCCTGATGGCGGTTAATGTGAACTTACGGACGAGATACTTTGCACACACCCAACGACACACAATCTGAATTACACCGTACGGCGCAGGTTGGTGGAACCGTGGAGAAAGCAGCTCCAGAAAACTCGTCCAATCCCGCTCCTCCCTTATTTTAAGGAGGAAGAAAGGGAGTACTTGTTAATGGTTTCATCAGCGATTCTTTTTTTCCATTTCAGTAGTCAGCATCCACAGTATCATTATCGGACGCTGTTACTCCACCAATTTTATCTGGAGTTGTTGCTTCAAAGTGGCTGATTGTAACGGTGTGCTCGATATAATGAGGTTAGGGAAAGCAGTAAGCCATGTATGGTGGATATACTGGTGTTCGAGCGATCCACATGTAATGTCAGGTACCCTAGAGCAAAATGGTTTGGGAAATATGCCTTATTTGCTTCTTTCTTTTGTGCAAATGTTGGGTCACGGGGCCGGATTCCACCTTGGAGATGCTTACTTCCATCTATTCAATGACATACGAAAGGATGGGATCTGATTCGGATTCCATGCTGGAATCGAACCAGCGACTTCCTCTTTACAAGACAGACGCCCTGCCATTAAACAGATGAGGTACGCGTGGTAAACACGCGTGCATGGTGTTTATTTTTGTCGAGCGCTGATTTTCTCGACTCCTGGTTTCCACCATCAGATGAAACGCCACCCCCAATACATCATAAAGGTTGTCGAAAGGAATGCTTCATGCTGAAATCGAACCAGCGTTCAGAATGATTTGAGGAATATGCAAGCATTGTGGTTCTAAAATTCCGGGGGGATGCGGAACTAGAGAGGCTCATGCCCACATGTATAAGAAATACGAATACCACTGAATCATGACAGTCGATTGATTTCGATTTCGTTTGATGAGTTAATGTTTCAATATAAAATACACAAGCCTATTGAGAGACATTCTAATCTTCTCGTTGAGAGACAAAATCTTCATTTTCACTGTATTTTATGCCCATATGCAGAAGGGGTGGGCAATGAAAAAAGTCACCCCTCTCTACTCCCAAAACGAAATAAATTACACATTGGTAAAGTAATGTGCGCAATCGGTGAAACGACTTTTTTGCCCCTGACGTAGATTATGCGGTGAGCTGTTGTTTGTCGAGGTCATATCCGCGTTTGATGCCTTTACAACCTCGTTACCACACCAATTGATGGGAACAATCCCTCACTTCGATCCATTTGCAAACCA